CCTCCTTCCTGAGCCGAGACAAAAATGTGTGAGCCGGAGGCTAAAAAACTGTGGAGCTGGCTCACACTAACTCAGCTTAGAGGGAACATTGCTCTGGAGCCCTCCTTCCTGAGCCAAGAGAAAAATGTGTGAGCCGGAGGCTAAAAAACTGTGGAGCTGGCTCACACTAACTCAGCTTAGAGGGAACACTGGTTTGCTCTGGAGCCCTCTTTCCTGAGCCAAGACAAAAATGTGTGAGCCGGAGGCTAAAAAACTGTGAGCTGGCTCACACTAACTCAGCTTAGAGGGAACACTGGTTTGCTCTGGAGCCCTCTTTCCTGAGCCAAGAGAAAAATGTGTGAGCCGGAGGCTAAAAAACTGTGGAGCTGGCTCACACTAACTCAGCTTAGAGGGAACACTGGTTTGCTCTGGAGCCCTCTTTCCTGAGCCAAGACAAAAATGTGTGAGCCGGAGGCTAAAAAACTGTGAGCTGGCTCACACTAACTCAGCTTAGAGGGAACACTGGTTTACTCTGGAGCCCTCCTTCCTGAGCCAAGACAAAAATGTGTGAGCCGGAGGCTAAAAAACTGTGAGCTGGCTCACACTAACTCAGCTTAGAGGGAACACTGGTTCGCTCTGGAGCTCTCCTTCCTGAGCCAAGACAAAAATGTGTGACCCGAAGGCTAAAAAACTGTGGAGCTGGCTCACACCAACTCAGCTTAGAGGGAACACTGCTCATAATGACCAAAACCAGGTAGGGGTTGATCCCACCTCGCCCCACCTCCCACCACTGGAGAGAATTTCAGATGAGCATGCATGTCTTTGTGGAGGGTTCTCATTGCCGTGTGACCACCTGGGCCCCCTGCATCTCCTGCCACGCGGGGACTGAGTCAGTCCTTCTGTCTGCTAGGAATCGCGTGAGGCCAGGTGAATGGCGCTCCCATCTGCCGCCATCACCCCACCACGCAGACAGATTAGCGACTCAGGAGGTGGTCTGAGGAAGGAAGGAAAAGGACGCCTTGTGACTCAGTCCCAGCTTGCCTCCTCCGCAACCTTCTTGTTAAGAACGGCACTTTTTAAAAGTGTTTGTTGTCGAGGTTTTCATTTGAAGCGGGGAGGGAGAATAGCAAGTTGGGGGGGGGGCGCAACCTTCTTGTTAAGAACGGCACTTTTTAAAAGTGTTTGTTGTCGAGGTTTTCATTTGAAGCGGGCGAGGGAGAATAGCAAGTGGGGGGGGGGGACTTGGGAGCCACAGGGTTGTTCCCACCACCAGTGTTCCCGCTAAGCTGAGCTAGTGTGCGCTAGCCCACAGGTTTTTTTTAGCCTCTGGCTCACACGTTTTTGTCCTAGCTCAGGAAGGATGGGGCTCCAGAGCAAACTGATTTATGCAGTAGCCAAATGGCTCGCTCACAGCTTTAAGGCCAGTAGCTCACAAAGTAGAATTTCTGCTCACAGGACTCCACAGCTTAGAGGGAGCATTGCCCACCACCAGTGTTCCCTCTAAGATGAGTTAGCGTGAGCTAGCTCACAGTGTTTTAGCCTCCGGCTCACACATTTTTGTCTTCGCTCAGGAAGGATGGGGCTCCAGAGCAAACTGATTTATGCAGTAGCCAAACCCTGGCAAGGGGCCCACAACTTTTATGCCAGTAGCTCAGAGAGTAGAATTTCTGCTCACAGGACTCCACAGCTTAGAGGGAGCATTGCCCACCACTACATGATAAGGCCGACTCATTTACTGGCATGAGAAGTCCTCCAGTGGCAAGAGACATACAGACACATGAGTCTGCCTTATGCTGAATCAGACCCTTGGTCCATCAGGGTCAGCACTGTCCGCTCAGACTGGCGGCAGCTCTCCAGGGTCTCAGGCAAAGATCTTTCACATCTCCTGCTGCCTGGTCCTTTCAACTAGTGGAGATAGTGGGGATTGAACCTGGGACCTTCTGCGTCTCAGGCAGAGGCTCTACCACTGAGCCATGGGTCGTCCCCAAAGAGGCTCTTCTGACAGCAAAGCGATCAGAAGAAATGTACAAGGGCTGTTGGCTGACCATGGTCCCCGCTGACATTACAAGCCTCATGGCCTTTTTCCTACCCGAAGGCAGAGGGTCTTCACTTTTTTCTAGCTTAATACCTCAATCTTTACCCACTCAAAAACCTAAGCTTACGGTCAAACATTTGCATGGGGGCCTTCCCTCTTCTCTCGTCTTTTAGGCTGCAAACATCTGGATTGCAAATTTCCTGAGGGGCAGGAGCCTGGCCGTTTGGCCTGTTACTCTGTCCACTGCCACGTGTATCACCGGTCCGAGGCACGTAATGACAGGAGGGGACCGTGGAACTTGGGACTCGTTCTGACAAGCAAGCTGGTCTCTGTGAGGCCGGAAGACTCAGAAGTCATTGATTTCCACACGCAGCAATCAGATATGTGCTTGGAAAGAATACCACATCACAGTCTTCCGGTCCAGAAAGGCTCTGTGCTTGATGAACAACGCTTGTTGATTACTATGCAGAGAGCATTATCGGCTCCTCTCTCGACAATCAAATATAAATAGACCAGATGAGCAGCTGACGAGGAACAAGGTAGGAAGCAAAAAAAGGGGGGGAGTTCTAACGAGCAAAACCGCAACCACAGAGGGTTAACCTTTGCAAGGACTACCTTGCTTCTACATACCCATCATATTTTTTTTTTGGGGGGGGACATTAGGGTTGCAAGCTCTGGCAGGGCTGCTACTAGAATTTTATTTTTCATTTCCCTGACTTTCCCTGACCAACATTTGTCAATTTCCCTGACCACCATTCAAATATAACCACAAGTTTAAAAATGAATAGGTCAATGCTCCCTCTAAGCTGTGGAGTCTTGTGAGCAAAAATTCTACTTTGTGAGCTACTGGCATGAAAGCTGTGAGCAAGCGGTTTGGCTACTGCATAAATTAGTTTGCTCCAGAGCCATCCTCCCTGAGCTGAGACAAGAATGTGTGAGCCGGAGGCTAAAAAAACTGAGCTGGCTCACACTAACTCATCTTAGAGGGGACACTGGGACTCGTATTGCATTCATGCAAGGTAAGGTTCCACTCTACAACTACACAAGTCTCAACTGCAAAAATATTAGTCAAAGAGATTTAATGTCAGCTTTTCTTTCATCATTAACTGCAGCAACGTCTGTTTTGCAACTGCACCAAAAATTACATCAAGATACAAATTTCAATTCTAGTAAACTCTGAATGCTAACAAATGACAGAACATTTTTGTTACTGCTTTAAAGGTACACTAAACATTATATAAACGTTCTACCTAAAGTGGTTGGGAAAGGGCATCACTGAGTTCTACTTGTGTTCTGCTCCTTCTCTATTCCAGTTGCCACAAGAACAGATCAGGCTCTCGCAGCAGGCAGGTCAAAGACCCACGGGCTTGAATACATTTTAATCACAACTTCCCTGACTTCAGACCAACTTCCCTGACTTACCCTGACCAATTTTCATTTTCCTGACTTTCTAGAAAGTGGCAACCCTGTCTGGGTTGGGAGATTGGGGGGCTGGAGCCCGGGGAGGAACCTCAGCATCATGCGAGGCCACGGAGTCCATGCTCCAAAAAGGGCATCTTCTCCAGGGGGAACCGGCCGTCTGGAGATCAGTTGCCAGGGTGGGAGGTCTCCAGGTCTCACCTGGAGGTTGGCAACCCTAGTACATGCACGCAATGGCATGATGGGGATGCAGAAAGAAGGCTATCCTCACAACCAATCGGTGCCAGCGTTATATACGCAGGTCTGTCTGGCGCGATACTGCCTCTTCTGCCTGACAGCGGCTCTCCAGGACCTCCAAGCACAGAAAGGTCTTTCCCCAACATCCGCTGCCCGAGATCCTTTTAAGAAATGGAAGCTGCGAGGGACTGGACCCAGGACTTTCTGCGTGGAGTACAGGACTTCTCCCAATGTGACAGCATATTGCAGAATCCACCTATTTCCCCCCCCCAATGAAGGAAATCATCGATCAAACCGTAAAAGTACTCGGCACTTTTAACGAGCCAAAAAGAGCGACTTTACCAGGCTCTGTGGAGGAAAGGAGTTAGCAGCACCGGTGTTGCCAGCTCCTAAGGCCATCGGAGGGTTGTGCTGGGAATTCGTAAACACGAGCGCTTGCCCAAAGCCTTGCTGCTGCGCGGGGTCGAAGGAGTTGGCCTCTGTTTCTTGGCTGGAAGTCCCGGGCTTTTGAAGCAGCGCCACCAGATCTATGCTGCAAGAGCAAAAAGCAAAGGGCCGCTGAGACGTGAAATGGACACCTGAAGCTCCCTGACACTGAATCGGAGCACCAGTCCCTCGAGGTCAGTATGGTCCGTACAGACTGGCAGCACTTCTCCAGAGTCTCGACGCCCGCCCGCGACTTCCTCCCTCGGCTTCCCTCTCTCTTTCACATCACCTGCAGTCTGACCCTTTTATCTGGAGGTGCCCGGGATCAAACCTGGGACCTCCTGTGTGCCTGGCAGAAGCTCCGCTACTGAGCCACAGCCCCTCCCTGCAGCTTGTTATGGCTTCCTTGACTCGGTTCATTAGCCACACTGGCATCCTTTTAACCACACAGGCATCTTTTTAGACTCAGCGGTACCTTTTCTAATTTGAGATGTTCCTTCTATTCGGGCCTCGATTAGTATGGTTGTAAACAGTTTCCAGGCAACCCGGAGGGATTTGACGGTCTTAATTCTTACACGGATATATGAAGCTGCCTTATACTGAATCGGACCACTGGGCCATCGAGGTCAGTACCGTCCACTCGGACTAGCGGCAGTCCTCCACGGTCTTCCACATCGCCTACTGCCAAATCCTTTAACTGGAGATGCCAGGAACTCAACATGGGACCTTCTGCATGCCAAGCCGATGCTCTACCACTGAGATAATCAGACTTCAAAGGGACTCAAAATATCATAGATCAACCCAATGCCATAACAGGAAATCTTAACACTTAAAGCATCCCTGTCAGGTGTCTGCTCCACAGTATTTAATTTGTTGGGTTTTTTTTTTTTAATCCTCCCATACTTAACGAAGCCTGTAGTTAGATGCTCCCACCTTATCTAGCTCAAGAGGAAACCCGCCAACTAAAGAGATGCAGGCAGTTCATTGTGGGACGAAGGCCCAGTCAGGAAAACATGAGGGAGGTAGAGATTTAGATTTGCGTAATTTCAGCATGTAACGAAAGTTCCACGGCCGCTCGGGCAAGGTCTCCAAGTGCCAAGCCACAGGACTGACATGGAAAATGGCTGCCTTCCAAAAGTATGAAAAGCACGAGACCGTCCTTGTGGCTGCCGGGGCTGAAAAGTCTTCGGATTAGGCTGCGCCAAAGAGATCCGAAAAGTGCTACAGAGCTGCAGGGCCCCAGCTCCATTTGGCAGAACGAACAGCACTTTCGGCACAGCCCCCACAAAAAACATCTGGTTATTTGGCACGGCACTCCAGGACAGAGGCTGGATTAGGGGTGACGAGTCTTGGGAACTGGGAGCACAAATACTGATGAGGCATCCTACCTGTTAAACACAAGGGAAATTTGCAAGCTGGCTAACAAATAAATCATAACCACTGAGATAAGAAAAAATATATTCTCCGTAACAAACTCAGGAGAATGAAACATGGGTAACCATGCAGCAGAGGTCCATCAGTGGGTCTTAGCCACAAGATATAGATGGAATACTCCGTCTGGGGCAAGTGATGCCCTGTATTCTTTGTGCTTGAAGGGCACAGTGGGAGGGCTTATGGAGTTCTGGCCCTGCTGGTGGACCTCCTGATGGCGCCTGGTGTTATTGTCCACTGTGTGACAGAGTGTTGGACTGGATGGGCCACTGGCCTGATCCAACATTGGCTGCTCTTATGTTCTTATAAGAGGGAATTAGATAAACATATAGAGCAGAGGTCCCTCAGTGGCTATTAGCCACAAGGTATAGATAGGAACTCCCAGTCTGGGGCAAGGGATGCTCTGTATTCTTAGTGCTTGGGGGGGGGCAACAGTGGGAGGGATTCTAGTGTCCTGGCCCCACTGCTGGACCTCCTGAGGGCACCTGGTGTTTTTGGCCACTGTGTGACACAGAGCGTTGGGCTGGATGGGCCATTGGTCTGATCCGACATTGGCTTCTCTTAGGTTCTTATGTTCTTAAACAGTTGCAACGTGGTGTGTAAGAGACAAGAAGGATGAGCGTGGGCCAGTGCCTCTGGGGAAGGCCTTCCAGAACCAGAGCGCCACCACGGAAAAGACCACGTCTCCCATGCTCATCTGCTCCACATCAAGAAGGGCCTCTGAAGAAAACCCCACAACACTCAGACTGGGGTGAAGGCACTAAAAAAAAATAGTGGCCATAGGGTGAAGGACTTCCTTTTATCGGTTCTAACCCGACTGCTCAGCAATCTGTTCTAACCCGACTGCTCATCCTCTCTCACACAGGGGCCAACCAGTTCCTCTGGAGGTCCAACAAGTCATTCATAGAAGCTGAGGCCTTCCTCCCGGCTCTGGGATTTAGAGGTTTAGTGCCACTGGAGATGGAGGTTCCCTTAACTCGCCCTGGCTAGTAGCCATAGATAGACCTACCCTACATGAAACCGTCTGCTCCTGTAGCCATCACTACATCCTCTGGTAGCGAATTCCACATTTTAATCACTCCATACAAAGAAGTGGTCTGGCTATCATTTGCATATCCCAACCCCCGCCCCCTGGGATTTATGGCCTGGCTTTCAAACCACTTAAAGGGAACCAAAACATTTAAAGGGAAACCCACGGGGGCCTTACAATAAGAGCTCACGTAATTACATGCCTGGAGCTCTTCTGCATTATCCTGGCTTAGTCTGTTATGGGGAAAGGGTCTTTTTTAATGCAACACATTTCCAAAAATGATTACAGGATTCGATTACAGGATTCTCTAAGAGGGAACAATTGCAGTACTTGAGCCTACTGAATCAGGTTGTGGGATTAGCTTCTCCAAAGCGGAAAAGCAGGAAAAATGGAAGACATACCTTTGGCCAGGTGCCACATGGTTCTCAGCTGGAACAGTCGAAGCAGTGAAGACCTTTGTTTCTGAAAGCTGAGATTGGAGGAGACAGAAAAGAACAACGTGAACTGGGGAAGAGTCGTGGCTCAGTGGAAGAGCAACTGCTTGGCATGCAGAAGGCCCCGGGTTCAATCCCTGGCATCTCCAGTGAAAAGGATCAGATATCAGGTGATGTGAAAGTCCTCTGCCTGAGACCCTGGAGAGCAGCCGCCCGTCTGAGTAGACAATACTGACCTTGATGGGCCGATAGTTTGGCTCAGTAGAAGGCAGCTTCGTGCGTATGCCTCACTACGGAAACTTTTCAGGGGAAGTGACTATTCAGGAGTGATGCTAAAAGCTCCCAGGCTGAGTCAGATCAAATATTTGTCCAGAGGAATGAAGCAATATGAAAGAGAGCCCGTTTGGTGTAGTGGTTAAGTGCACAGACTCTAATCTGGGAGAACTGGGTTTGATTCCCCCACTCCTCCACTTGCACCTGGCTGGATGACCTTGGGCAAGCCATAACTCTGGCACAGCTGTTCTTGAAAAAGAGCCGTTTCTGTCAAGAGTTCTCTCGGCCCCACCTACCTCACAGGGTGTCTGTTGTGGGAAGGGGAGGGGAAAGGAGTTTGTAAGCCGCTCTGAGACACCTTTGGGTAGTGAATATCTTCTTCTTCATTGTCTTGCAGGAAAGTTATATAAAGCAGCTGCTCAAACCTGGTAGTTAATCGACTTACCGTTTCGGAAAGAGAGCTGCCCCTGGGCATGGCTTGGTTGGGCGAATACCTGGTAACCAGTGTTTCCTCTAAGCTGAGTTAGTGTGAGCTAGCTCACAGTTTTTTAGCCTCTGGCTCACAGATTTTTTTCTCAGCTCAGGAAGGAGGGCTCCAGAGCACACTGACTTAATGCAGTAGCCAAATTGCTCGCTCAGAACTTTAATGCCAGTAGCTCACAAAGTAGAATTTTTGCTCACAAGTCTCCACAGCTTACAGGGAACATTGCTGGTAACCACATGCAAGCTGCTCTGAGGTACAGCAAGGAACAGGAAAGAAGGAAGAGCAGAATGCCAGAGACAAAGGGAAAGGCACGTCGGTCCTACACTTGATGGTTGCATATGAATGCAGTTGCTTTATATCGAGACAGACACCTTAACACAGATGAAGCTGCCTTCTATTGAATCAGCCCGTCGGCCCAATGACTGTTACATCACTACTGGCTCCTGGCTGCATCGGATTTTTCGGACCAAGCGAGAAAGGCAGAAGAAGAGGAGAGAAGAGATTGGATTTATACCCCACCACTACCCAAAGGTGTCTCAGAGCAGCTTACAAACTCCTTTCCCTTCCCCTCCGCACAACAGAACACCCTGTGAGGTGGGTGGGGCTGAGAGAACTCTTGACAGAAACTGCACTTTTTCAAGAACAGCTCTTATCAGAACTATGGCTCGCCCAAGGTCATCCAGCCAGGTGCAAGAGGAGGAGTGAGGAATCAAACCCGGTTCTCCCAGATTAGAGTCCACGCACTTAACCACTGCACCAAACCATAGGTACACAACTGAATCATGACTATAGGGAAGTGTTCCTGAAAATGGCAGCAAAACTATCAAGAACGAGGCCTCTTGCTAATATCTTTGCCTTAAGAAGCAAACAATAATCTTGGTCTATTTATAAGACATTTCACCTTGGCCTATTTATAAGAAATGATTGTTGCGCTGTAATGTCAGGATCCATACTGTAATACCATTTGCTTGGCCAATGAGGAAGGCCAGTGGGTCGAAACGGGTATGGTCAGGGTCAATAACGGTCATCGTTGGTTGTCTGTTGTGCAAATTGTTTCTTAACTGAGGCTATCGCCATGGCCAATATCTGTTGTTTTTTGTTTTTTTTAAAAAAATTACGTTGTGATGAATAAATAAATGTATATTTCTGTGTATCTGTCAATATTTAATGAGTTTCTCATGAATCAGAATACGGAAAATCAGATAAAGGCAAGTGATTTTTTAAAGTATTTAATATCGAGGTGGTGATTCCAGTTAAACTGTGCTAATCTGTCACAGCAAAAGTAAAAATGGGAGTCCAGGGGCAATTGAAAGATTGAAAAAAATAATTTCATTCACGTAAGCTTGCGTTTTGGATTATTATTATTTTTTTTTAGGCTTGAAAGGTGCCACTGGACTTCTGTGGTACTCATGGGGCTTTTCATGCCCCTGTTGAGAGAATTAAAGCCACCCCCCAAAATAAGGAAAAGCAGGAATGGGCTTTAACCCAAAAGGACACCGGCTAACAAGCCAATCCACAGACTGAACTGTCCCTTGCTGCTCAAACTGACACTATGGACTGTGGCGTTCGTCAGGCCACATGATGGGCTGAGCAGCTGAAACGTTTTTTGTTACATGGAGACCACTTCTGGGAAGCAATTTAATCCGTTTCTCCGTAGCTGCCTGGGAGAGCTCAACCACGGCACTTCCAACAAGAGCAGTCGCAAAAAACCCTTCACCGGCATGCAGCGAGCTGCTCGAAACAAACTGCAGACGAACTGCATTTGCCAGCTGTTTTGTGAGAGTTGTGTTCCTATGCTCAGCCCCCACAGAGCAAGAATCACATAAAGCTGCAGATACTGAGTCAGAGCCCTGATCCATATCAAGGTCAGTTTTGCCTACTCCGACTGGCAGTTGGGCTCCCCAGGGTCTCAGGTAGAGACTTCTTTCACATCACTTGCCACCCAGGTCAAGTTAACTGGAGGTACTTGGGATTGAACCTGGGGCCTTCTGCATGCCAAGCAGAGGCTCTATCACGGAGCCAAAACATCTGATGAAAAAGCAAACCAGGGCCTAAGTCGTCCCTGCAAGTAAGAACATAAGAGAAGCCAGTGTTGGATCAGGCCAATTGCCCATCCAGTCCAACACTCTGTGTCACACAGTGGCCAAAGATACCAGGAGCCATCAGAGGGTCCACCAGTGGGGCCAGTACTCCAGAAGCCCTCCCACTGTTGACCCCCCCCCCCAAAGCACCAAGAAGACAGAGCATCACTTGCCCCAGCCTGAGAGTTCCATCTAAACTTTGTGGCTAGGGGTGTGCAAAAAAAACAAATTTGGCCCAATTTGGATTCGGCCAGCAGAAAGACTCCCGCATGTAAATGTTGGCAGTAGAAGCGGATTCAGGAGTCTTTTGGCCCTCCGAATGTGAATTTCGCCCCCATTATATCCTATGGACCATTGAAGTCAATGGCGAAAACATAGGGTATATTCCGGGGGCTGGAAGGGAGGGGGTTTGAGGGAGAGGCTCCGAACTCGCAGGGAAGCTGCTGGAGCCTTTCCCCAAGATACTCACCAGGTTTCAAGAACATTGGACCAGGGGGTCTAATTCTACCGGCCCCCAAACAGGTTGCCCCCATCCTCTCCATTGTTCTCTGTGGTGGGAAAACCACCATGTTTTGGTTTGTGTGTTCTTTTGAATGTTTACTTTGAATGCAGTAAAATGAGAAGAATGATAGAGGGAGACAAGTGCATTGTGATAGGCTGCTGACTGAGAGTGTGGTAGGAGGGGTGTTTGACAGGATTCAGTGTGTGTGTTTATGACGAGAGACAAGTATGGAAGAGTTTTGAAGTGATTCTGTGTGTAAAGTTTGAAAAGAGAACATAATCTGTGTGACTATGGAATTTTGAGTCCAATTCTGTGTGAATAAGACCAACAGTTTAGTCTGTGTGTCTAAGAGAGTTGATTCTATTTAGTGTGAATAAAACAAAGAGACTCTATATATATAGAGTCTCTTTGTTTATATGAGAGAGAGAGAGTATACTGAGTGTATAAGCCAGTCAGAGTGGAGTTTGGAGGTTGAGAGACTGTTTGTAACACTAAGCTTTGCCAGTTATATTTACAAGTTCCTTTCTTCAGCAACTGTTCAAAATAACCAGAAACCTATTTTGTTCTTTTATTAATTAAATCAATTTTTGGTTAAACTTATCCCAGAAATCAGTACAGTCCTTCCTCAGGGCCACATAGTCCTCTGAAGTGCCCAGACTCTAGGTCATACTACCAAAAGAGAGATTTGAAATTTTTAATTCCTGGTGGCAGCACAAAACTACCATGTGTATGTATTCAGAGAGTGTTTAAAGGTAAAACCGTTTCCCCTATAAGCAAGGACGCCACACTACTCAACAAATCTGAACTTACATCTTCATTCCAGTCTTCGGCTGTCCATTCCTCTACTGAGTTCTTCCATGCTCCTGTAGCAATGACAGACAGAACACAGGCAAGCGATCAGACCACAGGAACCTGTGCTGGACCTCTCCCTTGACACATTAAGAATTATCCGGCCACCTCTACTGGAGAGAGAGCTAGGATGGAGCTCCAAGACATCAGTCTGCTTCTTGGCCACAGTTTCAGCCATCAAGAGCCAACCATAAGACACGAACTATCAAACTGAAATGTTTTCAGTGAGTTAAAAAAGGATCCAGTTACTCAAATATTTATCCACTGAGGAAAACAAAGCCCTCTTTGTTTTATCATCTCAGTTGTAAGCTGCCTCAAATAGGTCTCTGTAGAGGTGCCACATACATTTTCTAATTACATTAATTAATACTGCCATCTACTCCAAAGGGACAGTGGTGTTTTTATGGTCAGGACCATATTTTGCTCCGGCCTTCAGAACAACCTGAAGTTGAACAAGTGTTACTTCGCTGGTCATTTTATAAGGATATTCGGTCCCTGTATGTTAACCCTATTTTATCTAAACTTCCGGGGGCTGCGGTGGCTCAGAGGTTAACACACTGAGTTGCAGACCGGAAGGTCGGTAGCTTGGCAGTTCAAAACCCGAGTGCTGTGATAGAGTGAGCTCCTGTCTCTGGCCCCAGCTCCTGCCAACCTAGCAGTTCGAAAGCAAGAAATTGCAAGTAGATAAATAGGTACCGCTTCGGTGGGAAGGTAACAGCGTTCTGTGTGCCTTGGCATTTAGTCATGCTGGCCACATGACCACGGAAAACGTCTTCGGGCAGCGTTGGCTCTTCGGCTCAGAAACGGAGATGAGCACTGCCCCCTAGAGTCGGATTTGACTAGCTTTTGAGCAAGGGAAACCTTTACCTTTATCTAAGTTTCCGGGCAGATCTGATCTATATCCACTCTACACGCAGATTGCCGTAATACGGGGGGCCCCAACCTCTTCTCTGTGGGCACCTTTAGAATCTTGACACAGGGCAACAGGTGCAACCACAAAATGGCCACATGGGAGGCGGCGCCAAACACAGACACCGGGAATGAGGAGTCAGAGAGAATAAAACCAACACTGCAGTGGCAGCTGTCTCTGAAAGGTTAGTTTAATCTGTGCAGCCAGTCAGATCTCAACAGGGCAACTGAAAGCCCTGCTGGGAAGGACCCCACTCGGCACCACCCGCTTTCTCAAAACACTTGGTGGGTGCTATAGCGCCCTGAGCACCACGCTGGGGACCCCCGCCTTAACAAAATCACTCTTAGGCTGGCAAAATTTTGTACTCTGGCTAAGGAAGCAGATGCTTCAATCCTTTTATTAACTGCCTTGCATTACTAGAATTTTGTCCTGGCCTGGATGATGCAGGCTAGCCCAATCTCGTCAGATTTTGGAAGCTAAGCAGGGTTGGCCCTGGTTATTACTTGGATGGGAGACCACCAAGGAAGCCCAGGGTTGCTACGCAGAGGCAGGCAATGACCTGTGACTGGCTCTTGCCTTGAAAGCCATACTGGGTCAGCATAAGTCCGCTGCAACTTTTATTCGTGTTTAGCTTGGGCCTTTACGTTGTCTGATCTTGGATCAGAATAAAATAAATGAATGAATGGAAACAACAGCCTCCGAAAAGTCAGGGTCTATTTGGACATCTAGTGGAGGTTTACCTCTCCCACTGTACAAGCAGTTTCCAAGTCCCTGGGCAGAGAGGAAGAAGCTACATACAAACTGAACTTCAAGCAAAAATGGTGGCTGGTGAGAGAGGTACACATACCAGTGTCACACAAGCTAAAGCCTTTTACTGTTTATGCAAGATTTTGTGGTGAGTGGAGGTCAACTATAGATGTAACAAGGTAAAAAAAGTATCCAACCAAAATTTCCACCTCTGCAAAGTCTACACAACTATGCCTAGGAGCCACTGTATTGCCTACACACACCCTAAACTGGTGTCGTGGGTCAGCCTGAGTTCCACATGAAGTCCTCAGGGGAGGAGGACTCCTCAGGAGAAGGGGAGCCACGCATGGCTGGCTCCGAGTCAGCAGAAGCCAGCAAAGTGGCTGAGGAGCTGCAGACTGACCAAGACTCACCACCAACAGCTGATCCAAAGCCACTGTCCGGATACAGCAAGTGAGACTCAAGTGATTCAGACCAGTCCACCAGACTCTCCTCCACCCTTTGAGCACCGGAGACAGAAGCTTAGAAGGGAGCTGCAAGCAAGGAGGCAGAGTGCTCACCTCCTGGCCCGTCGCCAGCCGCTTGCTGATGACAACCTGGAGAAGTTGCAGCAGGACTCTCAAGCAGCTGGCTGCTAACAAGGGCTTGTTAGGAAATGCCTATAAAACCCTGGGCTGAGAGCGTGTATATTGTGGAAGCAACAAGTCATTCTGCTGGACTCTGTGACCACAACGCCACACTCTGTTTTCTTCGTGCGACCTTGGACCGGCTTCAGACTTTTGACTTTGTGACTCTCTGGCTTGTGGAGGACCCTTGGACCTCCTGACTACGTTTCTCTGCTTCACCTCTTCTGGTAACGACCCTCTGGCTTGTGTGCTTTTGGCTTGTGGACTTCTGGGACTGAATTCTGGACGCTGTGTGAGCACCTGAACGTGTCTGACTTGCCTGCCTGCGTCTGCTACACGACAATTGGGGACATCATGATTTGATGCTCTTAGGTTGGTCCACCTACTTACAACAGCAGCCAAACCCACTCCAATAGGGTGTACTAACAAATCCGGGCAATCTGCTAACAAATATTACATGAATATTACACCACCACACAGAGCAGCACTTATGCCAGCAACAACCTCTGGCACACATCTAAATCTAGACTTTTTTTGGTGGGGTCCCAATTACCTGTGCAATCATTAGCATCGCTCTGCCCAGCCTCCCAAGACTCCTGTTTTGTTCCAAAGCCATCTGTGGCAGGAGATTCCGTATAATCGGCAGGGTTAAATGTCCTACAGGTCAAGAGAGTTGAGAAAGTCAGAAATATACATGGAAAAAACCTGAACAAAAATACGTATATATCCAGTCATGTCACCTAGTGCTATTTGTTCAGCCAGAGATCTTTTCCAGCTTTGTTACCTCTGAAATTTTTGAACCGGGAGGTGCCGGAGACTGAACTGAGGACTCTCACTCTTCCAAATCATGTCAACCTATATAACCAGGAAGTCCCATTTTGAACACTCTTGCTTACCCACAACCACTGTTCCCTCTAAGCTGAGTTAGTGTGAGCTAGCTCACAGTTTTTTAGCCTCTGGCTCGCACATTTTCGTCTCCGCTCAGGAAGGAGGGCTCCAGAGCAAACTAATTTATGCAGGAGCCAAATGGCTTGCTCACAACTTTAAAGCCAGCAGCTCATAAAGTAGAATTTTTGCTCACAAGACTCCACACCTTAGAGGGAGCACTGCCGTCAACATAAGAAATCTTTCCCAATGACGTTAGCAGAAACAGGTTTGGTGGTGGCATCCAAAGGTGGACACTTTACTGAAGATCAATCTGGGCACGGAGCAAGGGTCGCTGGGAGGGGGGGGGCAGTAGCTGTGAATCTCCTGCATTGTGCAGGGGGTTGGACTACATAACCCTTAGGGTCCCTTCCAGCTCCATGGTCAGCCCCGTAGCCAGGAAATTTTTGCCCGGGGGGGGGGCAGGGGGGGTCATGCCCTCGACATGGTGATGTCACTAGTGATGTCAACCGGCAGTGACTCTCCTTCTCCATCTCTGCCCAGAGAGGGAGAAAGAGAGCCAAGGAGAAGGCAGGCAGGTGGGCAGTGAGAGGTGAGCAGAACAAGGTGTCATGACACCTCAGCAGGGAGGAGGAGAGCTGGAGGAGGAGGCAGGTGGCAGGACAGCGGACGGCAAGCAGAAAGAGGCATCCTGATGCTTCCTCCTGCTGGCTCTCCCAGCAGTAGTGAGGTGGCTGGGCTGGCTGAGTTGCACTGAGGTCCCGGAGCAGGGCCCACCCTGGCACCTCGCTGCACCTCACAGCCCAGCCACCACGTCGGCTCTCCCTGCTGCAGCCGAGCAGGAAGGACCAAGAAGAGCCACTGAGGCCACGGTGCACTGGGGGGTGCGTCTGGCATCTTCCTGGGGGGGCTGGGGGCTTCCATGGGGGGCACCGCCCCCCAAAAGTGCCCCCCCATGGCTACAGGCCTCAGGGTAACACACACTGCATCTTCCTCCCATAACAACTCTGTCTGGTACGTCGGTCGGAGAGGTAACAACCGGCCAAGGTCACTCAGTGAGTTCCACGGCAGGACGGGGACTGGAACCTGCACCTCCCAGGTTTCTAGTCCAACGATCTAACAGCTAAGACACAACCGGCCTCTTTTTAATTTTTTTAAAATAACTTTTATTACGTTTTACATGACCCTCGAAGCTTCTCCCTGTAACTGTTCACATCTGTTAGCTGTTTTCTGCTGTTCGTTTGGCTCTCGCTATGCGAATGTGTTTTTGAGCTGCGTATTACACAGGCATTATTACACGCTTTGTAGACTGCACTGTGGAAATGAAGTAAAACGAGTGAAGCCCACTCCCTTCCCTCTCCTCGGCTCACAATGAGGTCATCGGGGGCATGGCATGAAGAGGCCTTCTACTGAATCAGACCCTTGGACTCTTTCACAGTGGGCAGAGGCTCTCCAGGGTCTCAGGAAGAGCTCTCTCACATCATCTCCTGCCTGATCCTTTTAACTGGAGGAGCCGGGGATTAGAGATGTAAAATTTCTGGACATTTTGAAGCTCAGGAAAAAACCCCGTATTTTTTCCAGTTTTTTCAAGGGGGGAGGCGGCGGAAATTTTCGGAAAAATTGAAAAAAATGCTACATTAGCACTTCTTTTCCCCCCCAGATTGACAGTCATTCTTCAGGGCTCTTTTTGTAGAAAAAGCCCAGCAGGAACTCATTAGCATAATAGGCCACACCCAACAGCAGGAACTCATTAGTCTATTGGGCCACACCCCTGACAGCACAGCTCATTAGCACCTTAGGCCGCACCCCCATGTTACCAGAAGTGTGGTTATCCAGCCACACCCACCTTTTGCTTCTTATTCTGTTTACCTTGTTTGTTGTCAAAACCCAGGGCCTTTTTTTGCAGCAGGAACTCCTTTGCATGTTAGGCCACACACCCCTAATGTAGCCAATCCTAATGAGTTTCTGCTGTTGGGTGTAGCCTATTATGCTAATGAGTTCCTGCTGGGCGTGGTCAACTTGGGAGCCAGCCGGAACTCCGTTCCTGTGTGTTCCTGCCCAAAAATAGCCCTGCTGTTACTTTAGGAACATCAAATATGACTATGGACATTTTTGCTTGGCATGAAATTTTCACAACTAGCCTATTAAAAATATCGTGTATCTAAACAATTATTACAAACAGAATACCCACCCACATGCAAAAACAAAACGGAAACCTTTTTCTTTTCTTGTGACAATAGCCCCTCCTAAAGGAAGAACTGTATCGTCTTCTTGCATTGGAGAGTTCAGTTTGTAACCTAGGACTTGCTTGTCCTCAGTGCACAGAAATTAGATCAATCTACCATACATATTTTTTTAGAAATGATTTGGAAAATATTTGAACACCTGGTCTTAAGATATTTTATTTGTCATGTTAAAATAAAATGTTCCATAATCAATTTTTTTCTTTTCTTTTTTCAATTTTTCCAATTTTTCACAAAAAAACCCAAAAAAGGCTTCAGGAAAAAAAACGAGGAAAAAACGTTTATTCCCCAGACCTTCACATCTCTACAGGGGATTGACCCTGGGACCGTCTGCATGCCAAGTGATGCTCTGCCACTGAGCCACGGCCTTCTTCATGGTCACCAAACTGAGTGGGAGATCTCAGAGTTCTTTAAATGTGAGCTCTCCGCTGCTCAACAGGGAGCGTGGGATGGGATATTCAGCAAAAGGCAATTCTGCTTCTGAACAGCCACGGAACTGACTCCCACCTTCTACGCACTGTGACAAACCACGTGAATCAGATGCCACCGCCTGATCCCACTGCATGCAGAAGTCAGGGGAGGATATATCAGCGAGACAAGTCCCTAATTCAGCTAGTTATTATGCTTCTATAAAAAGAAAATGGCCTATAAAAACCTGCCTTCTAGCCTGACAGTCCTCATATTGCAGCGTCTGTCTTTGGGGGGGGAGGCGAATCAAGCCAAAGTTGGGCACATGTTAACTTGCACGAGAATAAGGACACGTGCAATTAATTTGATGGCCGGACGGCACCACAGAGCAAGCACCGCTGGGGATGTAATTTCAGAAGGCTTCGACTGGAGTACAGTTGTGGTGAATGAGCTTAGGCAGTCTTTTTAATTCTGTATCCCACCCAGAGCCCACGTTAGGTTTATTTTAATGCTGGCGGCATTCACCGCTAACGTTAACACCACATCACTACTGCCAGTTCAGTTTCCACCGTATAAAAATGGCTCCAGAAGTCCCCACCCACCGCCATGACTGCCGCAGATAGCAAATCAGGAGGCCTCACTGTAAATCGGCTTCTTGCATTTGACCGACCAACTTCTTAGGTTGGTCACCCGTGGGAATATTATGGTCCTAGGATGTTAAGAACCAGGACAGTTTTTGCATTCAGAGGAAATACTTTAAAAACCATTACCTCGTTTCTCAAAAACCACATTAAACTGTATTTCGTATTTGGGTGCTGACGACGACGCAATAACCTGTCAGTCACGCCTATGAACCATTCAGATTTCTTATGGGATCTACTCTCCACTGGATGCAATGATCCAGGGCGCTATGAAAAGTTTTGTGACACTTCTGAACTGCCTTCCCATGAATGCCCAACAGACCCCAAGCTTCCTTCTAGAGACCGTGCACAGTGGCATCTTTTATGGATCAGGAAAATACCCTAATTATGAAATATTACAGGGCATCAACTCGTGCTCTGCTCTGCAGCACCCACAGCCAGTGTTCCCTCTAAGCTGAGTTAGTGTGAGCTAGTTCACAGTTTTTTAGCCTCCAGCTCACAGATTTTTGCCTTAGCTCAGGAAGGATGGCTCCAGAGCAAACTAATTTATGCAGTAGCCAAATCACCAGCTCACAACTTTAATGCCAGTAGCTCACAAAGTAGAATTTTTGCTCACAAGACTCCACAGCTTAGAGGGAACATTGCTCACAGCCAATGTTCCCTCTAAGCTGTGGAGTCTTGTGAGCAAAAATTCTACTTTGTGAGCTACTGGCATTAAAGTTGTGAGTGAGCACTTTGGCTACTGCATAAGTTAGTTTGCTCTGGAGACATCCTTCCTGAGCCAGAACAAAAATGTGTGAGCCGGAGGCTAAAAAACTGTGAGCTAGCTCACACTAACTCAGCTTAGAGGGAACACTGCTCACAGCATGGGTTTTTCCAACTCCCCAACCCCCGCCCCCAGTTCCTCAGGACGGCCAACAACAGGGCATAGAGGCTGAGGCCTTCCCTGATGGTTCTGGGATTCAGAGGCCTAGTACTGTATCTGAAGAAGTTGATGCCCAAACAAGGAGAGACATTTTTTAAATCAAACGTGCATCTCATCCAGTATAAGAACATCAGAAGAGCCCTGCTGCTGGAGCAGACCAATGGTCCATCCAGTCCAGCATCCTGTCTCACACAGCGGCCAACCAGTTCCTCTGGAGGGCCAACAGCAGGGCAGAGAGGCAGGAGGCCCCTGATGTTGACACGTGGCTCTGAGATTCAGAGCCTCTGAATGTGGAGGTTCCCCTCAGTCATCATGGCTGGTAGCCACTGACCTATCCCTCCATGAATCTATCTAATCCCCCTTTAAAGCTGTTTCTTCCTGTGGCCATCACGACATCCTCTGGCAGCGAATTCCACATTGTAATCACTCTCTGTGTAAAGTGGCATTTCCTTTTGTCCGTCCTGAACTGACTGCCCACCAGTTTCATTGGATCCCCCTCGAGTTCACCCGGCAAGAAAACAGACCTACCCCATGGCTTGGGCTGAAAACCTCCCCATTCCTCTTCCTCTGCCACGTCCGAATCCTATAGGAAGAAAGAGCCCCATTTAAGAGTACAGTGTGGACAAGCAGACACCCCAGATATCAGCAGGGGAATCCAACCTCGGTGAGCAGAATTAAGTAAAATTTTCTTTAGCAGCAGCAAAAGTCTTGTCACGTAAGGGGAAGAAAGAAATCAGTTCAATAATAAGCACCGCTATTCTAATTTCTCATTGGTGAGAACCTGACCGTGTCCAGGCTAGCCTCAGACACGACGGCTGCTGCCTTCTCCAGATCGTACATGTGATTTGACAGGCGCTGATGTAAATCTGGGTATTCGTGGGACAACGTGGGAAGCCACGTGTATGAGTCGCTTGCCACCAGGGAGGTGGCAGCAGACGCTTCAGTGGAGAAGGCAATGGCCTCGTGGGCTCTGTGGAGAGCTCAGTCGCTTTTCCGTTCGTCAGGGTCTTTAAGGGTGCCCTCCCCCTCTTTCAGAAGAGCCGCCCCCTGATGCTAAGCTAGCCACAGGAGCATCTATCCCTGGGACTTTCAGTAAGCCGGTCACCTTGGGAGGAAAGGAGTGTCCTCCTCCCCTCAAGAGAGAAAGCTCAGTCAGAGACAAGAAGAAGAGGAGGAGGAGGAGGAGGAGGAGAGGAAGAAGAGGAGGAGGAGGAGGAAGAAGAGGAGGAGGAGGAGAGGAAGAAGAGGAAGAAGAAGAGGAGGAGGAGATTGGATTTATACTCCGCCGTTCATTACCCAAAGGAGTTTCAGAGCGGCTTACAAACTCCTTTCCCTTCCCCTCCCCGCAACAGACACCCTGTGAGGTAGGCGGGGCGGAGAGAGCTCTGACAGAAACTGCTCTTTTTCAAGGACAGCTCTTATCAGAACTACGGCCTGCCCAAGGTCATCCAGCCAGGTGCGAGTGGAGGAATGGGGAATCAAACCCAGTTCTCCTAGATTAGAGTCCGCACACTTATCCACGACACCAAACACATTATCCAGTTAACTCGTCTGGCAGACCAGCACCCCCATCCCGGATCTGCTGATGTGGTGCTAAGTCCCTGAACCTGCAGCTTCCAGGGTCAGCCAGCTCCCCACCTATCACGTGTGCAGAAACCAAGAATGGCCATAGTTTGGACAGAGAGGCCAACAGAGACCAAGGAATCCGTGAGATACAGGATTACGAGGATGGCAGGAAAGTCTTAACAGGCTAAAGCTGGGCTTTGAGCTGCCTCTCCTGACAAAGCCTTCTTTCCCTGTCATTCATTTAGAATTGTCCTAAGATTCTCAAAGAGGCATGTAAGGGATGCAATCCTGAAAGCAGTATCTGGAACACCCCTGAGAGCTGGGGAGAGTATCAGAGTACTGAAGGATATTCCATTTGAAATAAGACAACGGTGAAAGAAATATAAAGACCTTGTTCTTTTTCTTCAAACAAATTCAATTGGATATAGATGGCTAATTCCAGAAGGCGTCACCTTCAAAATTAAGGACAAAAAATAAAAGATTGACTCTTCTGAAAGCGAGATAATTTTTAAGAGTCCAGCTGGGAGGGCCAGAGGAGGAAGAAAAAGAAGGGGACAGCAAGTCCAGTGGCGAGCTGGACTCGGGTTCTTCCAGAGAGGACTCTCTGTCAGAGAAAGGGGTAGCAGCTCCTAAAAGTCCTTATAAGTTGCGGAAGAGACTGGACAAGAAGAAGTGAAGGCTGAAGGACTCTGAATTGTGCCTTTGAAAAATTTTGAATTGAGATGCTTTGGGGTATTTCCTTATATCAGTTAAATTTAAGATGTGGGAAAAGTTAAGAGAATATGTGACTCAGTTTGTAATGAGATTATTATGATTAAGACTAGATGTTTATTCAAGCTGATTAGAAGATCTCCTCTCTTGGGTTTTTAGTCAGTAGTGGGTATCTTTTCTTTATCCCCCTAAATGTAGTCCCCTCCCTTATTTCTGTTATGGTTTGTAGTTTTAATAAAAAATGCAATAAAAATTCCCCATTGAGGAGCAAAAAAAAGAAAACACACAGGCCAACTCTCCAGAGACCTGCTCGACATAACTCAGAGGGTAAAACAATTCAAAAAATTTAAATGTTTTAAATCAATATGAAAAAAACAACAACCAGTGTTAAAATTATTAACATACCCATTAGAGGCAAGACATCATCGTAAAGCAACACAGAAAGTCTTCCGCAGCATAAAACATCAGCTAAACCATCTCAGTCGTAAGTCTAAAACGGCAGTCAGCTGCCCCGAAGCGGATAGCCCGGGCAAGCCCGATCTCGTCAGATCCCGGAAGCGAAGCAGGGTCAACTGCGACAAGTACTTGGATGGGAGACCTCCTTGGAATACCAGAGGTGGGAGGTGGGGGGCAGGCTTTATTCAACCGCCTCTCTGAATATCCTCCAGGGCCCCCCAGTAGGGGTCAGTCACCAGAGGTTGCTATGACTTCCAGGTGCACGCACACTCAAACACACACACATGCAGATGCACATATGAAAAATAAAATAAAAAAAAAACCACACAAAAAATAAAATGACAGTCGGCTAAGACACAGGCCATAAATACAGCAACTCTCTTGGCTGCTAAGCAGGGCTGGCCCTAGCTAGTACTTGGATGGGAGGCCACCAAGGAAGTCCAGGGTTGCTATGCCAAGGCAGGCAACCACCTCTGAATGTCTCTTGCCTGTATACCTGAGGGACCGCCTTTCCCCATATGTCCCCCAGAGAGTGCTGCGATCGGAGAATCGGCTGGACCTCCCGAATATCAAGGAGGCCAGGCTAGTGACAACCAGGGCCAGGGCTTTCTCGGTGGCGGCTCCACTCTGGTGGAATGAGCTCCCGGAGGAGATCACGGCCCTGTGGGACCTGTTACAGTTCCGGGGGGGCTGTAAAACGGAGCTCTTCCACCGGGACTTTGGAGCCGCCGCCGCCACGAATATCTGACAGAGCGAACCCGACCCCCTGGGTCCCCCAATCACAGCCCGACCCGATCGCCTTGGACATCTGAAGAAGATTAAGAAGCCGACTGTACGCCGAGGAATCAAATACTAGCACTTTAATATGTTCTTGTATTTATGGTTTTAAATTTGCGTATTAGTGGATTTTATATTGTATATTGTATTATTATATTGCATTGTTTTATATCGCGTGTGTAAGCCGCCCTGAGCCGGCCTTGCTGGGAGGGCGGGGTAAAAATCTAATAAAAAAATAAATAAATGAACCTCATGGGGACTCCATAAGCTGGTTGTGACTTGACAACAACAACAACAAAAGGACAAAAGTACAGGTTTGGTGCCCAGGGCAGACAGAAGGCGGGGTGCAAGTCAGAAGGAAGTTCTGCCTGCAGATACCACCTACTACACCTCTGGCAGGGTTTGGGAGGAAGATCTTGCGGTGGGCTGGACAGTATGGTAACAAGAATTCTCTCACACAGGAACAGAATTCAGAAGAAACCCTTTCTTTTCCCAGCGAACTCCAGATTATTCCCAGCTTTTACTACATTTACTGCCGTTTCTCTAAGGTAAAGGTTTCCCTTCCTCGAAAGCCAGTCGAATCCGACTCTAGGGATGCGGTGCTCATCTCCGTTTCCAAGCCAAAGAGCCAGCACTGTCCGAAGACGTTTCCCATGGCCATGTGGCCAGCATGACTAGACGCCGAGAAGCACGGAACGCCGTTACCTTCCCACCAAAGCGGTACCTATTTATCTACTTGCAATTTCTTGCTTTCAAACTGCTCAGTTGGCAGGAGCTGGGGCCAGAGACGGGAGCTCACTCCGTCATGCGGCACTCGGGTCTCGAACTGGCGAGGTACAGACCTTCTGGTCTGCAGTTTGGCGTCTTAACCACTTGAGCCACGGCGGCCCTTTCTCTACAAACACCATGCCTCTATTCTAGAATTCTCCACCAGGCAGCACAAAATATACAATTTGTTGTTTGCACTGTTTTCTATCTCTGTAATCGGAGACCGGTTGCACGGTTTATGGTTTGCCATATCATGCCTGACTGCCATCGTTTCATATTCTGGAATCCACCTGGAGTCTCAGTGAGAAATGTACACGCTAAAACAAACGAGGCCCCATGCATTTCTTTAACTGGCACAAGGCGTACAACATAGCATGGTCAGGTTGAGAGGTTCCCCGAGGCTTTGCAAAAATCACACTCAAGCTTGACATTGCACACGCATATGCATTTCCAAACATTACTTCACAGTTATTAGAAACCGGCTTGTTAAAACAAGCATAGAAGATGTCTGGGGGGAGAGAATCTGGAAAGACAGCCAATCACCGTGTATCTCCTTTGAGCAGTGTCAGTTCTTCATGCCATTAATTTCTACACGCTGCAGATTTCTGTATTCTACGTGCTCTTCAGCCATCGGGAACAGACAAGTGAGATGAAGAGCAAAGGGCTTGAATGGGCCCTGGATCCAGTTCTTCGAGGCACTTTGTTCAAACACGTAATGAAACACATTCTGTTTAATCACACAGTAGAAAAGAGCAAGAGTCCAGCAGCACCTTAAAGACTAACAAAATATGCGGCAGGGGAGGAGCTTTCGTGAGTCACGGCTCACTTCTTCAGATAAGGTGCTACTGGACTCTTGTTATTTATAGAATCATAGAATGTTAGAGCTGGAAGGGACCTTGCAGGTCATGACCAGGACCAGGGCATTTTCGGTGGCGGCTCCTACCTGGTGGAAGGAGCTCCCGGAAGAGATCCGGGCCCTGCGGGACCTTTCTCAGTTCCGCAGGGCCTGCAAGACGGAGCTCTCCCGCCAGGCCTTTAAGTAGGAGCCGCCGCCACCACTATTCCACCTCTGCCTCCTGTGCACTGTCGTATTACCATCATGATTGTTTGGTCCCTATGGGGGGAGCGAGGTGCCTGGGCACGGATTGGATGATAAGATCTCAGGGAGCTGCTATGGAGGTTAAGATCCACCCATCTTGGTTAAATCTGTATTGCAAATTTGTTACTGTATTTTATTGTAATTTATTGTTTTTCAATTATGTGTTTATTGTTGTAACCTTGGCACATGGTGCCCGTGTCAGCCGC